GTCGGTGGACTGCAGCCTATGTAAAAAACTTGACCGCAGCCAATATTGGGGAGTCATGCACATATATCACATAGCAAGCACATGCAATTCACATCATCACGTTGGGGGATGGGAGAAAACGTATAAAGAAACCTATGTGTGGTCATCCACGTACTAGGAAATATCCTAAGGGTTCATGCATCTTTCACCTAGGTCAACGGGGTACCAATTCAACTAACATGCAATACACAAGACTCTTTTGTCCTACGAACGGTACCCGAAACATCAAACTAGACTTAGGCACGATAAACGGAGTCCATCGGGACACCACGAGGATCGGGGAACATCAAACGGGAAAGCCAAAATCCCAAGGTGGGAACAATCCAGCGGGTGGTCGCCGGCTGCCCGCCGGCGGCAAGCCTCCGGGCAGCGGGTGCCCAGCGGGCAGTCGTCTGCCCGCTGCCGGCGACGTCGATTCGGGCAGCGGGTAGGTGGTGGGTCCCCCTACCCCCCACTGACTCTTCTTCAATATTTTGGTCCCGGGATCTTTTGTGGAACCCGAAACCATGTTTAGACACTTTTAAACACAAACAACGACACCACGTAGTCAAATAATGGATCAAAACCAAGAACCCTATTGAACATATCCTAACATGACTTCTAAACATAAATAACACCCGAACATGCAAAATCCCACCCAAATATACCAAGAATATCACAATACGAAATTCCCAATTCAACATAGGGCTCTAATCATATTCAAATCATCAAAATCATAGTTTATCTTTTAAGATCAAGAACATCAAGATTTATCAAGAACATCACGCAATCATCAAGATCCTCTTATAATCATCAAGATTATCAAGATCAACACATAAGATCATCTCATCAATTATCAAGATCATATCATCATCGCCATAAAAGATTTATCAAGACACAAGCATAGAGAGGAAGCCAAAGAAGAAGATTATAGCAAGGAAAATAGGTTTTGTTGAGACATGGGTTACCTCTTAGCCTTAATCAATATCCTTGGCTACTAAGGTTCTTTCTCTAGGATTTCCATCCAATTGATCTCCCTAGGCTTGGTGGTGGTGAATCTCTCGGGAATATTTTCGTGTAATATAACTATGGGTGGTAAGGGTTCTAATTGCTTTCTAATCACCTATTTATAGAATCAAGAATCCTAATCATAATATGAATAGTAAATGCCTACTTTGGGCGGAAATGCAAGGAAGGAGGATTTTATTTTTAATAAGAGTATAGATAGACTATAGAAATTTTATAAATATATATCTTAATAATAAAAATTCAATTACATTATATAGTTTTTACATAAAATAGAAAAACATGTTACAGTATATAGACTTTATAGTAAATAGTAAGATATGCTAAAATAAAAATTACCTAATTTAAAAATGATTTTTTTTCATGCCCCAACACAATCACATATTATTTTCATCTATAATCAAATTCATATTCACCTCTATTTTTATTTTTTTTTTTGAATACTATCATCTTCATTTTCCTAATCATCCATTTTAATTTGTAGGAAATCAATATACCACATCAAAGTGATCAAACTGGAAACTACACAGGAAGATTTTATTTTTATTAATAATATACATTATTATTATTATTATTATTATTATTATTATTATTATTATTATTATTATTATTATTATTATTGTTGTTGTTGTTGTTGTTGTTGTTGTTATTATTATTATTACGTTAATTCCAGATCCTTATTATTATTAATTAGTAATTTTGATAGGATTTTTCTTTTTTACTAGTATCTTTATTATGACCCCTTTTTTTTGCACAATGTTTCATTTCCTTTTCCATTTTCAATGAATTAATGATCCTTTTTTATTTTCCTATTTTACTAATTATTATTATTATTAGTATTAATTAATCAGTGAATTCCATTTCCTTTTCTATTTTCAGTGAATGACGAACTCTTTTTTATTTTCTTATTTTACTGCTAACTTTTTTTACTCATTATTAGTATTAATTAATCAGTGAATTTCATTTCCTTTTTCATTTTCCATGAATTAAGGATTTTTTTTTACTACTAACTTTTTTATTGATTATTATTAGTATTATTAATTAGTAACTTTTTTCCTTTTATATTCCTTGGGCTGGAATGTAATGAAGGAGAATTTTGTTTTTAATAAGAGTATAGATAGACTATAGAAATTTTATAAATATATATCTTAATAATAAAAATTCAATTACAGTATATGGTTTTTACATAAAATAGAAAAACATGTTACAGTATATAGACTTTATAGTAAATAGTAAATATAGTAAGATATGCTAAAATAAAAATTACCTATTTAAAAAAATGATTTTCTTTCATGCCTCAACACAATCACATATTATTTTCATCTATAATCAAATTCATATTCACCTTCATTTTTTTTAATACTATCATCTTCATTTTCCTAATAATCCATTTTAATTTGTTGAAAATCAGGATAACACATCAAACTGGAAACTACATAGGAGGATTTTATTTTTATTAATAGTATACATTATTATTATTATTATTAAGTTAATTCCAGATCCTTATTTAATTAGTAATTTTTGATAGGATTTTCCCTTTTTACTGGTATCCTTATTATGGCCCTTCTTGTTTTTTTTTTTTTTCATTGCACAATCTTGTCTTCCCTTTTCCATTTTCAATGAATTAAGGATCTATTTTATTTTCTAATTTTACTGATTATTATTAGTATTAATTAATCAGTGAATTTCGTTTCCTTTTCTATTTTCGGTGAATTACAGATTCTTTTTTATTTTCTTATTTTACTGCTAACTTTTTTACTGATTATTATTAGTATTAACTAATTAGTGAATTTCATTTTCTTTTCCATTTTCCGTGAGTTAGAGATCGATGAACAATAAGTAAATTCAAACTCATCTTCTGAACAAACTAAAGCAGCTAGGGATGAACTTCTAAGAAATTGATGACTCACATAATATTTTGACACATTAAATATAGAAGCAAATTAAAGCTATGAATTAAAATGAAAAAAGCGACCAACTCAATATAATTATCATTCCCAATATACAAAATCGTCATAAGCCCCCCTTCCAATCAGCTATTGGGCAAAAAAAAATTTGCAAAAAGTTTATCATCATTCTATGTTGAGTCCCAATGTACAAAACCAATCTTTGATCTTTTGAATGAATCAAGAAAGCTCCAAAAAAAAATAAGATCCGCATATGTAAAGTAGCATTACAGATAGTAACAGTAATCCCAATTGTATCAAATATATACACCTTCTTAAAACAAATAAAAGGTGAAAAACAAATCAATTGGGATCATAAACAAATCTACAACTTTAATCTTTATTATAAGGAGCGAAAAATTTTATATATATATATATATATATATATATATATATATATATATATATATATATATTTAACATTTAACATTCATCCCGAATATTGAATTGTTATCTCCAACATACAAAAAGTTATCTTAGGAAATTGAAAATTAAACTTCTACAACTTTAATCTTCATTAGTCTCCCATCCAATGCTAGATTCTAGTACTTTCTTAAGACTCTCATAGCATCTGAGTGGCTATAAAAAAAAAAAAAAATCACTTCTGCAACTCCCTACCAAAATTACATGTACATATTCGTCATCACAAACCAATTGAACAACTTACTTTCAAATAATAAATAAATAAATAAACCCATATATGAAAACAATTCTTGCACGCACACAACCAGATTATCTATGTGTATGAATAAATTTGAAATAAGAATTTAAAAAATACACAGGAGAGAATTTACGAAAATATCGTTGTTCGAAACTCCATCCCCCAAGTTGGATACATAAAGCTTTGTCCAACGTTATGACACAATTTCTATTCGTTTTTGAAATGTTTGCAAACGGAAGACGTGCTGATAAACATACACATATAGGTGGAAAACTCAGAAATTGAAAAGAAAATCGAGAGAGAATACATACGAAAGAAAATGTTAATGCCGACCATGACCGGGACACTCTCTTGTGCGATGACCGAGAACGATGACGGCAATCCACCATTCTTGAAAAAACCTTAGAGAGAGAATCTGATTCTTGAATCTTTGATCGAGTAGTGTAGGGAGAGGCAAATCCTATCATTTTATAGCCACAAAAAATTGACCCTACATAAAATTAATACTCTGTAAATATTTTTATAATTACAATTAATTAAATATATAATAGTAAAAATAGTAAACGGATCCTACTGATTCTATATTTATACTCTGTCTTAATTGAGTAAAAAAATTTGGGCAGGAAAATGATGTAGGAGGATTTTATATCTAAAAACATAATAAGTGTCAATACAAGTTATGTCCTTGATTTTTGTCCCTTTTTTATATGCTAATAAATATATACATCTTGCTTTAATTGTTGTACATTTGATTTGTATTGGACAAAATTACCCTTACACCGTTATAACACCGTTAGTATTTAATATGTCCACCAATCTTACCATACACCTACATCTATCATATCTTTTTCCTATTTTTAGTTATCATTTTATTAAAATTATCATATAACAATTAATTTAATTATAAATTATATTTTAATTAAATATTTATATGAATATTAAATTTTAATTATAAATAATATGTATATATATTATTTGTGTATACATATCAATATATCATATATGTGGGTGTTAGCTTAGTATTATTTGTAAATTATTATTATATAATATATATATATATATATATATATATATATATATATATATATTGTTTGGATCACTTTAAGTAATTGTGAAACATAATTTTAACTAATTTTTAAAATTTTGTTACTTAACAATATTTTAATATTGGGCATAAGTTTTCGCGCATCGCGCGTACAAAATGCTAGTATATATATATATATATATATATATATATATATATATATATATATATATATATATATATATATATATATATATATATATACGGAGTATATATATATAGATTTGTTAAAAAGTACGGAGTAGTGAATAATTGAATATACCATTCTCTATCTCTCCAACAACGGCGAAGACGGCTGCCGTTCTCTGCTTCTCAACAAAGTCTATCAGAGAGCATAACATTAGCCATCATTAGCACTATACCATAACTCTCCGCTTTCGTCATACTCATTTCGTCCTAGAAGTTTAAGCAACACTGGAAAATGAAAATCTAGAGAGAGAAATTCGCCGACCTATACATTCACAAAGCTCTGTATATATATGTCCATCAGCTCCTATACATTCAAACAAACATACATTTATGAGCACAGGTACGCAGCATATATGGCTTTTGTGCTCGCGTAGCAGATCTCGAGAATATTTAGAAGCGAAGCAAGTAGCGGAGGGAGGATTTTATCGTCCCGTTCGTGAATCCGCGTTTGCCGCATTTCAGGTTTGTTCGCACTGGTTGGATTTTGATTCGGTTTTCATGGTGCTGAGGAATTCGACAGAGTGAGGTTAATGGACGAAAGAGGAGGATCGTTTGTGGCCGTGAGAAGAATATCGCAAGGCCTAGACGGAAGCAATACCTGCCATTCAACCTCTGGTACTCTTTCTCTCCTCCTCATCTCCTTTGTTCACATAATAAAAAAATGATTCTCTTACGTTTCTCTCGTTTTGCGTTCTGCGCCTATCTGCATATTTGGTGTTGAATCTATCCGTATCATTGTACCGATGTAGAATCTACTATACTATTACGTATTGCCGTATTGATATTTCGCTATATGATTTCATAAGTGAAATCTAGAAATTTGGCTATGTTAACTGAAATTTTAAGATAAGGTTGATTTATGTTTATCATGCCTGTTTGCATTTACATTTGTGGAGAGTATGATGATTTCCATGCCTCTGCTTCCCCTTTTCGATTTCTGTACATTGTTGTCGTGATTTTCTTAGGATTTTAATTAATGACAAGTTGGTTGGAGAGATGCTCCTGATTCTGCGCGCATAATATCCAGTCACATGCCTTTCATTAACCCTATTTATATAAATTTATGTCTATGCCATTCTTTCTGGCAATGGGGGAGGCTCTTTTGTTAAGTCTCTAGCTGTTGGTAGAAGTACGCAAGCAATTGATCCTGACTTTAGAGGATTTACTGGAATTCTGAATTTTGTTAACTGTTCATTTATTATTATTATTATTATTATTATTATTATTATTATTATTTTTTTATTTTATTTTATTTTATTTTTTTTTGTCTTGAAATGTAGTGGTGGTTTCATATCATGTTACATGTTTTGAAAGTATAGTGAAATGATAAACTTGTGGTTTGACAGAGGGTTTTCTTTTCTCTTTCTTTCGTAGTACTCTATTGGCCATGGCGCTTAGCATTCGCCACTCTGTTTCTGATCTTACTAGTGCTCATTTGCCTTTAAGATGGAGGAATTGTAAATTGTCAGCTATTCTTGAACTTATTGGTGTTCCTTCTCCTATAAGAGGGAGGATCCCTAAACATCATATTTCAGGTACTGGTCTTGAGGAGCTCCATCCTAAAATGTAGATGAGTATAAGCTTTAGTCTTTATATCATTTAAACAAGCAGTACTAATATATGTGAATTAATGTGTTGAAGCATTTGTGGTAGCTTAGTGAATAGTTGTGAGTTATTGAGGTACTAATAGTTTTTTTTTTTTTTTTTTTTTTTTTTGTGAACTTCGTTTTCACATGGATTCAATTTGTGTATTTATTTATTTATTTTTATATGCCTTTCCACAAGATGCTTATCAAAAGTTATTATTTGATGTTTTGCAATAAATAATACTGTGGAGGTATGCCCTATTAACTATATGCCTGGTTAATAGTGCTTCTGCCACATTATGTATTTTCAGGTACATCCACTAGTTAGCACAACTTAAATGATATTCTAATATCTGTTAAATAGTTTTATTCATGTATGTTTCATGAATATTGTGCATACTATGATGGTTCCCCGTGTTTGCTCTTGATCCTTGTCACAGTTGCAAAAGTAACCATTGCTTAGATTTTTCATGATAATAGTTCTTGGTCCAATGAAGGCAATGACAGCATAAGTTTTCTTCTGCTCTACCTACAATTCCTTGGCTTTTTCATTTCAATGTATTCAAAAAGCTAATGCTTATTGACTGGCGACAAATCAAGTAAATGATGATAAAAGCATTATTTTTTGTTATGGCAGAGGTTGTAGCAGGATCAGCAGCATGGCTTGGCAGAGGGCTTTCATGTGTTTGTGCTCAAAGAAGAGTGGGTGATGCTCGGCTTATATTTGATTTGACACCTACCCAGGTATTTTGATAAAGTCAATCAAGCTTAAATTTTCTGTTATGTAAATGGTATTAAGGATGGTCATAGAATACATTATAAAATTCTGGTCTCTGTATTTGTTTGCCCCTGTATGTTAGGCATTTTGTTTGCAAGGTGTACAATGGCATCCTTATTGTGTGGTAGCAGAATGTGTTAGTCTCTTATTTGTCAAATGTGTTGATTTGGAGGTTCCAGAAATGTTGTGCTTTTGTGCACTCTCTGCTAAGGTTTATATGGTGATTTTGTTAATATTTACATTGTCCCCAATCTGCCATATTCATCTCTATCTGAATTTTAATATTTGGATAGCATTTCATTTGCCAGTTTCACCTGTTTTTATTACTTATATATCATCTCAGGAGTACATGTTCTCACAAAAACTGTGATTTTAAAGAAAGAAAATTGTATAATCTTTATTGGTCTTGTTGGATGGCTGTATTGTTGGATGATATTAATAAGCAGCATCAGTCATAAATGGTTCATTTGCAGCCTCTCGAGACATTTCTAGTAAACCAACATTTATCAATGAAACTAGTTGCTTGAACTCCATAATAAGTATTTAGGCAAATCAATTAACATTACTGATTGATGTACATTAGTAAATATGTGTTAGAAATCATACCTTGTAATAGTAAATACTAAATAGAAAATGCATGCTGCAAGACAATTACTGCATACTATGATCACAGCACATCCTTGCATGTGTCTCCAAGGGGAACTGAATAGCTTGTCCATGGTTTGTTTTTCCTCTTCAAATTCTTTTTATTTGTTTCTCTAGAAGGGTATGACTGCAAAGAGATGATTTTTCATTCTACTCTGGTCATGACAGAAGGAATGCTTGCAGAGGCTTCATAACCGTATAGATATTGCTTATGATAGTTCAATTCATGAACATCAGGTACACTATGCAACAGAATATTAAAAAATTTTATGCAGGTTTTTCTTATGGTTATTGGTAACTTTTCCTGGTTCCAACAGGAAGCTTTAATGGATTTGTGGAATGCTGCCTTTCCTGGTGAGGAACTGTGTGGCCTGATATCTGAACAGTGGAAGGAAATGGGTTGGCAAGGCAAAGATCCATCCACTGACTTCAGGTATATCACTACTTTCTTGAAGACTGATTTTACCTTGTCTCTTATAATCTACCTACTTTTCTTTAATTATTGATTAAATTCTCTTTAATTTTAATTTTAATTTTTTGTTTTGCAGGGGTTGTGGACTTTTATCGCTGGAAAACTTATTATATTTTGCTAGGAGCTTTCCTGTAAGTTTTGCTCTCCAACCATGGGTGTTTTCACTGGGTAGATGATATATCTAAATAATTTTGATTACTGGGAAAAGCTAATGTTTTTCTATTATATGGATTATCATAGTCAGTAGTCACAGCTAAACTTGACTTTTAATCATGACCTAGGGGTGCATCTTTTTTCCCCAACTTTATTGGTTATGCATCCTTGATATTAATGCTCATATGTCAATGGATTGTTATAATAATTGTATCTTATCTGTTGCTAAATAGAATCTAAATTTGAAATTGTATTTTATTGAATCCAATTTGCTTCTAGAACCAAACAATTTCATCATCTTAATAGTAAAGTGTTTAAGCATTTGCACATTGCACTTGTTCTTTTCTTACTCCACCTCAAGAGTTGTCAACTGAGGCACTCCATGTTAATGAGATCAATCGCATACTTTTGTTTCCAATTTATACGAAAATATCAATGTGAATAATATATGTGCATAATAATACATACTCCCGGCCTCAGTCTGATGGAGTTTGTTACCTTGCTTTTATGCACAAAGTTTCAGTAAAATTCATTCTCCACCTGTAGCATATATGGAGTAATATGCCTAAAATGTCCTTTAGGTTGTTAAACATGGGCCACTTTTTTCTCGTCACTTTTATTTGTAAAAAGGTAATAGCAAAGTATAAGTCAAAAAAATAGTAACTTTTCTAGGTAATGAGCTTAATGAGACATTCCAAAATAAAGTGTGATGAACCGAATGTGATGGAAGGAGCATATGTATTTCTATACATAATTTATTTTTATTTTTCTTATAATTAATTTTGGCATTTTATTTTAATGGTCCTCCACACTGTAGATAACCTTTCCACTTTTTGCATCCTGATTCTATTTGCAGAAATCCTTCCAGGATCTTCTACATAAGCTAGAAGGTAATCGGGCCATATGGGAATACCCATTTGCTGTTGCTGGTGTCAACATAACATTTATGCTTATCCAGATGCTTGACCTTGAATCAAGTAGGTTTTTTTCTGCACATTTCTTGTTTGAGCAATTTGATAAACAGCAACTGTATTGCACCTTGTTAGTACTCCCCTTTAAATTTATATTTATATGTATAACTCATGTTTCTGAAGTTTTAGAATTCATTTTACTTAAAAGAAAAGGATTAAATGTATTCTCACTTTGATCATTGTCAAATGATGTCTGTCTATACATCTAAACAAAATAAATATTAATTTAAAGGGAATTCATTTGTTTTTTTTTTTGGTTTAAAAAGGGAATTCATTTTACTTAAAAGAATAGGATTACATGTATTCTCACTTTGACCATTGTCAAATGATGTCTGTCTATACATCTAAACAAATTAAATATTGATCCATGGTGACAAATAATGACTACATGTATTTTTATTGTCTGCATTTTCAATATATGGCTCCTTAGGAAATACACTATATTCAATTAGCTAAGGCTGGTTCAATTCTGCAGTAAAACCACGAAACTTGGTAGGGGCTACCTTCTTGAAGTTTCTTGCAGGTAAATACTTTTATTTGGTTAAGGTCCCTGCCAGTAGTTTTTTTTTTTTTTATGTTTTATTTTAATGATTATTATAATTAATGCCCATGTATCTCTCATTTTTTACTTTTATTTTTTAATTGATTGGAGACATGTAATGAGTAGGCAACTTGAATTGATTAGTAATTAGAGAATTCCTCAACTTCAAAGTGAATTATTTTGCACTTTGTACAGAAAATGAATCAGCATTTGATCTTCTGTATTGCATTGCGTTCAAGCTGATGGATCAACAGTGGCTTGCCATGCGTGCATCATATATGGACTTCAATGTATGTGTGTTTCCTCGTAACCTTTCTTTTATGGCTTTGTCATGAAACATTTGCGTGTGTTTAATTTTAATGAGTTAATTGGATGTATTAGACATTTAATATAATGTAATGCTTTGATTAAATTGAATACGCACCAACCTCTGTGGTGCGTATTTGTATTCTAGTTGGAGTATGTTGTATTTAAAAACCAACAATGAGTTCCGATCCAAAACATAATCTGGACAGCCCTGTACTTAATAATGCCTAAATTTGCAGTGTTGATGTCTCCAAGTGTGTCTATCTGCTAGGTCAAGTTTATTTGATTTTATTGTTGTGACCTTGTGTTTGTACGTTATGGATTATGCAGACAGTTATAAAGGCTACACGCCGGCAATTGGAAAAGGAGATTCTCCTAGAAGATGTATCACGGCTGGAAGATTTGCCCTCATACAACCTTCTTAGTCGATAGGTTTGTTGTTCTGAAAATTGAAATGTTGCCTTATTTGTTATGAATTGTTGGTTGCGGTTTTCACCTGGCAATACACACACGAGTTGGTGCCTGTTAACGGTTTGCTCTTTCCTTTGTGTTTTTATTGGCAGGTAAACTCCGATTTGATTCTTGAAGGAAAACAGGTGTAGGTAACCTATTATTCAATTATCGGCTACTGAGTGAGTGTTGTATACAACCTTGAAACTTGAAATATAGGTTGGAAGACCATTGCACCAATTTCCTTCTCTGCGCTCTCCACTGGATCACTACTACAATGTATTAAATTTCATGCAATTACCTTCTCCTCCCGTTTTAATTTGCAGACAAGTCTGCATGCAAACTCAGCTCCACTGTACTGTGATATGCTTCAAGCCTATACAGTACTCATGCACTGAAGAGTAAGGAGATTACAATTCGATCTGCCCAAGAGATATGCATTGAGCTTCCACTCAACAATTGAATTCCAGACAACATTATCCTAGGGAAGCAACCAAAGAATAATCCGTTGATAAACCACCAAACACTAATCACAAATTTTATGAAGAATCTCACTAAGCTTCAACTTAAATTGTTGATGTTGATGATAAGCATTCCATTCTATTTCCATAGTGCATTACATGGAAGAACCACAACCATTAATTAATTGATCATAAGGAATATACTAAAACGGGAGAAGGTAATAATACCTTTAATTTCTTCTCAAACCTGCCAATAATTTCAATTCTCCAACCTGAATAAAAACAAATCAATTAATTATTTTTTTAAAAAAAATTGTCTTCTGTCGTAATATTTTATGAGGAAATCCAATCTACATCTAACTACCAGATCAACTGCCTTCTCGAATTTAGAGGAATAATTATTGCATACAAATGATGGTTTTGTGACTATGTACAAAGCTATTGCTTAGAAATAATAATGTTATTGTTAGGAATCAAACCTTGGTGTTTGGGTTAAAGGCTAGGATCACAAGCCACTAGATTAGAGGGTTTTACCATTATATTCATGCCTTGATAAGTGTTAGAACCACATTTGCTATCCATGCTTACAACCCATGTGTCCATGCCATGCATCTACGTGTCTGTGCCCGTGCCATGCCCCCTCGTCTACATCAACACGCTTCCACCACCCTGGCCATGTACACACATGCCCTCAACACTGTGTCCCCTTTAGAGGGGGCGTTGTTGCCACGCCAAGGGGTGCACAAGCCCCAGCGCCGGCCACGCCATGGCCAGAGGAAACTGGCGAGCCTTGCCACCGGTTGGCCATGGTCTATTTACTATGCTGCCAACGCTATAATTGGGACAAATACAATCTGGCCTACTGCACCTTCATACACAAGATAGGTAGTGACTTAGTGGGTTGGGGCGTGTGTTACTTTATTATGGGAAGTTAAAGGTTTGAATCCTTTTGGTTGCACTTGTTTAGCCTATAAAATAAAATAAACGACGATAATTTTTTTTTTTTTTTTTTTGGTTACATGTTTTTTATTTTTATTTTTTTTATTTGTTTATTTTTTTTTTATTTTAAGGTTACATGTATTTATTTGGCTTGCAAGTTTTTAAGCAACTTTCCCTATGATATAAAATATGTTCATAATATAATAATCAGCACATTTTGAAACTGTATGAGTTAGCCTCCCCAACGATTTTACAATGCATGTTTATTTCTTATTGTTTGCTCAAGTTGTTGACGGTACTAGTTATAAAATTCAACAATGCGACTCCAGAAGAAGCTGTTCCATCTTTGATCATTTCCAACTCCAAAATCTTTACTAATTAATATTGAGCCATGCACTACATAACAACAAGTCATCCTTGTTTGTCCATCGACTTTTCAGTATCCTTGGAGGTTATGTTTCTTTAAGTGTTGGCATTTCTTGAGTAGAATTATTAGGAAATTCTGACAAAGGTATATCACTTGCAGGAGTAGGAGTAATCCCAACGAGAGTATACATTGGATATGATGGATGATAGGTTGAGGGAACACCTTGATACATACTTAGTAAATACTGATAATTAACATTGCTCATCCAAGCAAGAAAGGAGGATATATTGATCAGGGGTTGTGGGTTTTGATTGGCTTCATTAGTATCATTATGTGAAAGTTATGAGAAGTTAAAAAATGGATTGAGTGGTTGGCGCGAAGGATTTAAGTTATAACTATTGGGATTGATGGGAATTATTCCCTGAGCACCACGCCTGTACGGTGGTCGGTAACATATCATCTGTGCGGGCTGAGCCCGACACGACTACAACCGACCTAAGGCCCGCGCTATCCCGACCTAGCTTTGCCTACCGGGCTTTTCTGCGGATCACGCTCATAGGCAGCATCGCGATACTGGCACGCCGATCTGCTTAGGCCGGGACCGGCCTATTGATGCCCTGCGACGTAGCCTACTGCGCTCAGGAATATCAAGGCACATGGCCACGGCCCCTTGGACCCCGATCTGGCCCCATGCATGAACTCCATGTGCCGCACATGCCGCTGGGCTAGGACCTGTCCCCTTGAACCCCTATAAAAACCACATTAAATGCAGAGGAGAAGGACTTTTGACATCTTTCACGAAGGGATCTTTAGCTCGGGGACCTCTGGCCCATTATCATGTAATATGAGCCTAAAGACTTAAACCAACAAACAGACTAAGCATAGGATCCGAGCCCAAAACCGACCTATATTGTACACCACAGAGTAGACCGTTCGTATATTCTACATCATTTGGCGCCGTTTGTGAGGACCGGACATAGAAAGTCGATCGCTTCGCTATTACCAATCTTCGAGCAAGATGTATCCGTTCTTAGACTTCTTTAACGAGCAGAAGGTCAACGATAACATCCCAGACCTCCAAGCACACTTGAATTCACGCATGGATCTCAACAACACCCCAGAGAGGGGAATGCCTCCGCCCAAGCCCGTGATCGTGATCTTGCAAGGACAAGCGTTCCCAACGGCACCCGACTAGATGCCTTACTTGTATAACATAAACCCGACAGGAATTCCCGATCCAGCGTTCCAGTGGTGGTAGAGTTCCCCCCCGGTTCTACGCCCCAACATATTTGTACTAGCTGGCCCCGACCATGTACCCGCTACCAATGTACATGCCGGGCGCAAGCATGCCCGTGCCCAATCCTCCGGAAGCCGCCTCGGCTAGGGTGTTCAGGGTCGGAGAACCCGAACTCCATCTCGTGTAGTATGAGAGAAGGGTGCTACCCTCGCACCAGGAGCCTCCTGCCCAAACTCACCGGCCAGCTCAGTCCCGGTTGGGTTCAGTAGAAAGGCAGGACGTTGAAGTGAGTCGAAGGAGAAGTGTATTAGACCGACTCCGACTGCCAGCTCGAGAACGCTTGGGGATCCGTGAGGAGGGTAGCATGTTAGTTGACCTCCCCGCAACAAGTCGACGGGGGGACTCCGACGAGGCCAGCTCATCGCGTTCCCATCGCCCAAGGGAGGGCTGAAGAGAACCTCAAACCAGCCTACCTAGAGGAATCTTGGACCAGGTCTGTCAGGAATTCAGTAGGTAGAAGCAGCAGCAAGGGCCTCTGTCTATTAAGGTCGGCGCGTCATTGCTAAGGACTCCGTTCACCGCGGAGATCATGATTCAGTATTACACAATTGATCTGCGAATCTCGGGAAAACAAAGATTATAACGGGAAAACTGACCCAGAAGAGCATATTAACTTGTACTACAGCAATATGCTGATGATGGGGGTGTTGGACGCTGTGATCTGCCGGGATTTTTATTCCATCTTATCGGGAAGGGCCGCCGAATTGTTCAAGTCACTAAAACCCAGGTTAATCGCAAGTTTTGCCGAGCTGGCTTGAAAGTTTGTGTGGCGGTTTGCCACGTCCAAAGTTGTCCGGAACCACTTCACCTACTTGGAGGTCGTCAAGCAACAGGAGGGAGAATCCTTGACCGACTTCCTCTCAAAATAGAAAAACGTGGTAGGCGAAGTCGAGCCGATAGATGATCGGACGACAATCAATGTGCTTCATTCCTCGTTCCGGGTAGGGACCCTGTATCCGGATTTCATATTACACCCACCGCTGAGATACGAAGATTCTATCTGCCGAGCAGGGTTGCAAAAATCCCGCCTAGGAACCGAGTAATCGGCGCCTAGGCGCTAGGCGCCCTTAGGCCGTGGCGATTTCCCACCTAGGCTCCCGCCTAGCGCCTAATTCCGCCGCCTACCGCCTAACTCGGCCGATTACGCCGAGTTAACTCGTCAATTTCTGTCGAGTTAGCCGAGTTAACCCGGCTGATTCGACCTTGCTAATTTTTTTCATTTATATGACACACACACACACGCGCACACACACACACACACACACACACACATATATATATATATATATGTGTGTGTGTGTGTGTGTGTGTGTGTGTGTGTGTGTGTGTGTGTAATATGACATATATGCACCTACACACGTGCGCTGTTTTTCATTTTTTCAGTTAGCCGCCTAGGCCGTCTAGGAGCTAGGCGCTACTCTACCGCCCGACTAGCGCCTAGCGCCTATTGCAACCATGCTGCCGAGTAACCGATTATGCCAACCCGGGAGAGGCTAATTTCGCTAAGCGATGGCAAGAGGCATGACTGGGTCGACGGGATTGACGACCGGACCCAAAACAACAAGATCGGCAATAGAGAGGCCGAGACAGGGACGACGTTTACACCCCGCTGAACTGTCTAGTGGTAGAGGTCCTTAATTATGCTCAATCTTGCAATCTTTTGCAGTTGCCAGAGCCAGCCCGTGATGGTCGGGACAAGTCCAAATATTGCGCTTATCATCGGAATAGGGGACAAGACACAGAAGAATGCACCAACCTCAAACAATTAATTGAGGACTTACTACTGTCTGGAAATTTGGCACGATTTGTTGCCAAGAAGGACGAAGGTAAGAAGTTATAGAATAGGATCTTCAAGTGGTCGGACAAGGAAAAGAAAGATAAAGAATATGAGCCTGATAATGAGCCGCCTCTCCTGAGTGCAAAACGTGTAATACACGTCATATTTGGGGGACCGGAAGGCGGGGATTGCTCGAAAAACTGACGCCAATGGTCGCAAGACATTCAGGTCGATTTAATAGAAACAGAAAGAGTAGAGAAGAGGCAGAAGGTGGAGCTAATCATGTTTACAAGTGAAGATTTGCCTGTCGACCCGGATCATAATGTGGAAGCGTTGGTGGTTACCATTGATGTAATGGGGGGGGGGGGAGAGGGGGGGCATGTATAAAGAGTGATGGTCGACACCGGGAGCAGCGTGAATGTGTTACAT